AAAATAAAACTAGGAACTAACCAAGAAAGATCAAAGTGCGATACGAGAGGGGTGAGAATGGCTAGAGAGAGTAACGAGATGAAGAGGGTGAATTGGGGGGCAACGAACAAAGGAGAACTGAAATAAAATGGAGAGGGAAAAAACTGCATTTCTGAAGCCGGAAATAACACCCACGCCCACGAGTTAGAGTTGGTAACCTTTGCGTTAAGAAATATAAAGATAAAAGGAAGAAAATTCAAAAGGGTGGTTCGTAAAGTAGGGGAAAATATAATCTGTTCATTCTGAGAAATTCTTGTTCCCACCTAGATGGGTGGGGGAAGTGGTATATAGGTAGATCACGTTAAAGATGCGGCAGGGGAGTTGATATGATAAACAAATAGAAATTAACAAGGCTTTTTCATCTTTTTGGCTCTTTTGTCTCATTTTTCATTTCGTTGTCTTTTTCTGTTTCTGGTTTTGTTGCTGGTGTTGGTCGGCAAATGTTTATGCGCCACCATTTGCTTGTGCTGCGGCGGCTGCCGCTGCCGCTGCCGCAGCATTCGCATTCTCAAAATCTAATGCCTTCGCATCGGCTTCGTTGACAACGGTCTGGATGATTTGTTGCTCTTCGGAATTGAGGATTTTGGTCAGGTTTTCGTAAAGGGCGGGCTGTTCTTGTTGTAGATCTGAGGGTGAATTATGTTAGCATCCAACAAAATTAATCACGAAAGCAAAGGCAGGAGAAGAATTGAACTTACTCATCAAAACATTCTTGAACAAGCTGTATGGCTCAATTTTATCCAACGGACTCTCAAGCAAACTCTCCTCATCAAGGTCATCATCATCTTCGGGCATCGCTGAGTATTTCATAGCCTGTGAATTGAATGTTAGAGTTTGCTAAAGAATAATTTTAGTCAAAAAATTGGTCAAAAATCTTACTTCTTGGTTTAAAAACTCAACGTAAGATTGGCTCTCATCGTCAAGGTCTCCATCAGGGCCTTCGTCTCCATCTTGCGCTGTCCACTCTACTTCGCCACTCCAATCATTGGTTGGGTCGTCATCATCATCATCCCCTTCATAGTAGCTTAAATCAACATGACTGGTAGCTTCTTCGCGATCTAGGATTGGTCAGTATATTGGCTACGTATAACCAGGTCGAAGGTAAAGGGTGAACATACGCTTCAGGGCAGCTGGAAGGGTCTGGAAAAGCTTGCTAACCCCTTGGAGAAGGCGAGGCCAGCCCGGTTGCACGCTTGCGGGTACATCATTTGCTTGTAAGGTCAACAATGCGCTGATGGCAACGATGCAAAGCTTCTTGTCATGGACCCTATTAAACAAGTCCATATTGGAGAACCAGGTACTGAAGAATTTATTGGTCCATTCCTTGGACTCCAATACCTGAAGCGATAATAGAGGATTATAGTATATGGAATTGATAACCATCTCCATAAGGTGAATCCGGTAAGATTTCGCATGTGTCTCATTCGAACTCAAGACCGCCATCGCTAATGAGATGAATGTTGGGATATATTGGTCGACGTGCCCTCGAAGGTTAAGCATCAGAGCCTCTGCAAGTTTGCACCCACAGATTCTATCAACACCTCCAACCTTCTCATCGTGGAAAATATCTTCAACCATGCCAACGAGGGCTTGAAGGTAAGCAGGGTTTTGTGTCAACGTAAGCGAGCCAAAGGTGACAAAATTATCCAAAGCAGGCAGCATATCTATAAAACGGAATGTTAGCTGGGCAAACGCTTAGCCCGTGGAAATTACTATCAACTAACCTTCGAGATACAATTCCGCTCCGGATTTGAAAGTCTTGTGCATGAGGACAAAAGCTTGCCACATCGTTGGAGAGATGGACTTGGCAGCGAAAGTGCAAGAATCGACGATCTCAAAGACCTCAGTATACAAATCTATACAGTTTGCAGTTAGCGTCAGGTCAATCAAAGCGGACAGAGGAAATCTAACCATAGAGTTTATTTTCAAGAGTAATTGTGACAACAGGCATCAATATGGTTTCGAGGTGCAGAAGAACATCTGGCGTGCTTTCCAAGGTCAAAATGAGCGTTCCGATGGTTTGGAGTACTCCCAAGGCGGTGATGCTCTTGTCATCTAGGAAATCGCCGTAAATGTCTTCATCGTCTTTGGAGCTATTTTTTCGTTCATCTAGCATTTCTCCAATAATACGCATGTAATTGTCTCTCAGCTGCTCGCACAAAGCCACCGCAAAAGGAGTGAGTTCCGCCGAGAAGGCCTCCACGAAGTCTTCCATGACGCTTGCTAGGGGATCCAAATCAACTTCGTTAGAGAGCTTGAGGAGTTGTTGCATGATTTGTGGGATGCTAGTCTGCATGGACGTTCGGATAGGGTCATGGCGAATAAGTGGCTGGAGGGCAAGCGCGGCTTCTACCCTCACGGGAAGCTCAGGGTCGGCCAACGCATCCAAAATATTTCTATAAACAACCATGAGATTGTTGGTGTCCTTAAAATCTAGCTCGCTAAATTTTTCCAAAGTTTCGCAAGCCCGTGCGCGGAGATAGCCATGGGGGCTTTTAAACTCCGGGAAAACGTGGCGTACGAAAAAGTACTCGACTTGGTCGGCAATAGGACTTTTCTTTCCCAAGATAACGGAAGCCAATGTACCAATCATGCGAAGGGCGCCCTCCTTTTCGCGAGGAAGTTTTTGTTCATCCGGAGACGACTCGTACTTGCTCACAACACCGTTAATGAAACTCAAAATGGAAAATGTTTGCTTCTTCCGGCTTTGTGTGAGTGCTACGAGAAAGTTCGTTGCTGCAGAGTCCGGTGCAGAAACCTCCTCATATATGTTCAACTTGCGATGCAGGTATTCAGAAGGATCCGTCTCGAAAAGTTCAATATCTTCATCGGTCTGGCAGAGGACTGGGAAAACCAGGTGCTGAATTAGATCATCCATGTGGGGTTTCAAATGGTCCCACGTAATCTTTGGCTTGACACAGTCTTGCAGAAAGACCAATGTATAAGAAAGCGCAGGCTTGCTTAGCCATTGGCCATTAACCCACTTATCGATTTCTCCCAAGTAGCCTTTCAGAATCTCGGGAGCAAATGTCGAGATGAAAGACTTCGCATATTGTGCATATCTGTTCGAGCCGGGCTTCCCAAGCAGATTGGGGTTACCATACCTACCAAAGTATCACAAATAGTTAGATTACCTTCCCCTTCAAATATAATTTCCCATGAACATACCGAACGAATAGGCGGTTCAAGTTGGCATATGAGCATTTTTTGGCCTTCCACCAATGGTTAAGCTCCCGCTCATCTACGTCTTCTAGCATAGAACTCGCTGGAGGGATTTTTCCAATGACTCTCAAGAATAGAGTACACCAATCCACCGTTGCTTGATGGGTCATTAGGAAACTTGGCATTTCAAACTGCAGTTAACAAAAGCGTTCCACGTTAGTAAAAGACTCTTGGGATGCTCAAAAGTCCCCGCGCTTTTAGAAATAGAAGTTTTCATAACCCACATAGGTGGCATTCTTATATGCCTTGACAACTGTCCGTAGCATCTCTCCCGCTTCGATGCTTTCTTCATCGACAAGTGAAGAGCCAATAGCCAGTAATCGCGGGAATGAAATTTCTACCACTTTCTCGAAATCCCCCCTCTTGTCGCTCGCTTTGAATCTGTAAACACGACATATTGCCAACAGACACTGCAAGCCTGCAAAAACTGAGTTTGCGTCGTTGGTATTGAGTAGCTGAAGAGTCACGTCCATATAGTCATGCCATTTTGAAGGGAAATCGTATTGGAGGACCTTGGATAGGATCGGGGCCAGCTGAGATCGAACGGCAGGTGGGGAGGACGCGAGCAAGGGGATAATACGGGCTCGGAATGGAGCTCGATCTTCGTCTGGGATAGCTTTATGAATGGATTGTTCTTCGGCAGGGGCCCATCCTCGAGTAACTCGATTTTTCAGATACACCACCGCTACAAGAGGCGAACAAGAAGGGATTTGAGTCAGCAATGCGAAGGACAGAAAAGTCTATGAAAATGTGTGTATATACATGACTCGCCAAAAAGACGAGACAATGTTATGTGGTATTTGTTCCGTATAGCGTACGTAGATAGAAAATATGGCGGGGGTTGGTTCCTTACTAGACAGTCGAACTCCATTGTCCTGCTCTGCCTGCAAAATATCCAACAGCGCATTTACGAATCCAGGCTGCTCCTCTGCCTAATGGTAGAAAATAGTGAGCATATTATCAGCATGCATGTATAAACAGAGACGCCGACTGAAATAACATACGAATTTCAGGTCCGCCTCTGCCTGTTGTCTAGAGTCGGCATTGGTGTTGAGGGTGGCTTGGATACGTTCCCGGAGCGCTGCGACATCCATTTCGCGCTTAAAACAACCCCCAGCGCCAGGCCTGAGGAGGGTAGATCTAGAATTCCAGGTTGTGACAAAAATAGGCCGTGGCCTTGGTGCAAGCTGTGCAGCGTCGAGTGGGTGATTGGGGCGTGGAAAAGGGTGTAGTGATGGTAGTGTTTGAGGAGAGTTGGCCTGGAGAGACGAGATCAGTGGGGGGTCGGTCACGGTTTTAAAATTGAGTTAGTTAGCATGGATCGACTTTTTTTTTTTTTTTTTCCCTTTCTTTCTTTTCTTTTTGTACTTTTCAATCCACAAAACCCTCCTTCTACTTTATTTTTCGGAATACTCCGCCAACACCAAAAAGTCATATAAATACAGAATCGAAAAGCGGATACAGCCATTCCATTCGATATATGTATGTGCCTAGGTAGGCTCTTCAATGCCAAACACCCCAACAGACTCTAATGTAAACTATCGAGCTTGGTTCTACACACAATGTGAGTGTGTGTGTATGTGTGTCTCCAGGTCCAGGCACATTCCGACACATAAATATTTCAACATAGCTCCAGAACCGTCCTTTGTCATTTAAATCACAGCCGCAGCACCGACTTTCAAAGGATAAAATTTTGATGAATCACTTGGCCAGCGATCAGTTAATCACCGCGTTCTTTTTTACATGTAAAGAGATGCCGCGAATATTACGTCGCGCTTAATCAGTTCCTGTGCCTGTTGCATCTTGCTATACAGCGTTGGGTCGCCCACCAGCTTGGCTGCACTCTTCACCTCCCGACACGTTTCGTCCAGTCGTGTGATAACACGTACAATTGTGCCTTCCATCACATCAGTCAAGTCTGTGATCCGGTTGAATGACATTCCCCGAGCCCACTCGTACACCACCTCGACAAGGCTGAATCGTGGCTTGCTCGCGAAGTCGTTGGAGTCTTCGCTCGAGAGGATCACTTGGTGTTGGATTTGAAAGTCATTTACCTTTTCCGATATCTTGATTATGGCCTCTTTCCCCTTTTCAAGCCGTGGTGTTAGCGTTGGGACACTCTCGGTCTTCTCCTGGAAGACGAAGGCGGACAGCAGTGCAACAATCTCTTCTGGCTCATATTCTGCAAACACATTTTCCAGAATCAATTCTGTCAGGACGAGTTCGTCCGCTGAATGGATCTAAACATGGATATGTTAATTATTATTTTGAAAATGCTTTATTTGTGGGTCGCAGAGAAACATACCTCACAGGCAACCTTCCCCTTCAATTGGACTCGAGAAGCCTCATCAACGAAACCAAGATCTTTCAAGACCAAAATCCGCTGCTCGTAGTCCGGTAGAAGTTGCAGATTTTGATCCGACATTAACTGTTTTAACTGTGAAATGTTCTCTTTTACCTGCCATTCGTCATGTTGCATCTCAAACTACCCAAGTGTCAGCATTGTCCAATCAGGCTAATTTTAGCCAAGGAATCTGATAGTCTTCAAACTTACATGTTTCAGAAATTCTGGGCACTGCAGACACTCGCTGGATTCGACGATAGCGACTTGTGCCTGCCGCTGGTTAAGAATCTCGACTATTTGAAGTTCCTTGACTCGGTCCCATGCCAATTCGTCCCATGCACTGGCCTCCCACGAGGTACATAGAGGTACAAGATCCTTTTGTGCAACTTTCAATGACTCTGCAACAGGTTAGCACCAGGTCATTATAGAAAATTGAAAAAAAAAAAAAAAAAAAAAAAAGCTTTGCCGAAATGAGGCTTTCCTACATACCTTTCTTAATATTCAGATACCAAGTTGGGCCACCTATTTTTACAACCGTCGTGGTTACACATTCAAGGTCCTCAAGTGGAATCTTGTAAGTCTTCAACACCATCTCGTTAGGATTTGTTGACAGCGGCGAAAATAAATGTCGAAATGCTGGTAGATACGGAAGGATATCACTTGGATGCCGGCTCGCACTGATTGGGCCGAATTCGAACACTTGTAGGCCAAGGTTTGGCCCGGGAGCCATACCATCGCGAGCGAGCATACCAACTGTCCTGATGCCGTTCTGCAGAAGAGAAGCCAATATTAGTAAATCTCGCCAACTAAAAATTCAATGTATATTCCTCACCTTTTTAAAGACAACCACGGTCTTGGCGAAGAATAAGCGTCGCCCCACAGGAGATGCATGTAGGTTGATATGAAGTTTGGTAGTTAGCCGCGAATACTCCACTGCGGCTTCGTGACAAGTCTCCATGTCGATATCACATATGGCGCATGGCTCCCGTTTTATTTTCTCCAAACTAGCTTCGGACAGTTGCACTTGTTTCTGGTGCTCCGGCAGGAGTGCTTGGGTTGCATTTTCACTGAAGCTTCGCTTGATCATCTCTTCAATCTTCAAGGCTTCTACCCGCAGGAGATTTAATATCATGTTATAGGTAAGTCGGAATTGGGATCGAAGCTTGGTCGGATCGCCTAGAATCATGCGTCGTAAGGTGCCGGCGGGAGGCGCCTCATCCTTGCCAGACGCAACAATTATTACAGATCCGACTGTGTCAAGCCCACGTCGACCCGCTCTCCCTGCCATTTGGGTATATTCACCTGGAAGGAGATCTCTAAATGACCGACCGTCATGTTTTCGGAAGCCAGAAAATACGACAGTCCTCGTCGGCAGGTTCAGACCCATTGCAAAAGTTTCTGTAGCAAACAGCACTTTCACCAAGGTTTTTGCGAATAATATTTCAACAATTTCCTTGATGATAGGTAAGAGGCCGCCATGGTGAACCCCAATACCTCTACTCAGCAGCTCCCTAACCCGACGAATTTGTGGAAGTCCTCTATCTTCCGTCTTCAGCCTTGCCAGCGACTTTTCAATGATCATATGGATAGTGCTCTTTTCCGATGCCGTGCAGAAATCCTGATTAGATAAAGAATCTGCATTTTCCTCGCATCTTCTCTTGGAAAACACAAAAATACACGCGGGTAACAGGTTTTCCTTTCGCAAGTGTTGTACAAGATGGACCCAGATATTTCGGTCTTGTGCAACAGTCGTGCGCCCACCGCCTCGGCCTGTTCTAGCGATATTACCAGTTCCACGAGACACAGGTTGGCCTCTGCCGCGCTGCTGTGCACTCCCTCTTTGTTGGGTGCCTCCACGCTGAGCCCCACCTCGTTGGTTGCCACGTTGGGGTTGCCCACCACGGCCCCTGTCTCCATGACCGCCTCTATTGTTGGTATTGGACTGGGCTTCCGCCGCTTTCTGAGCACGAAGTTTGTCTCGCCCGGACAAAATATCATCCGCTTTCTTCCATCCCTTCTCGATGAAATTTTTGTTTGAGTCGACGATTTTGTGCATGCTTTTATCCGCCCACAGGTAATGCTCTAATGGGACCGGGCGCTTGGGTGTCGAGATGACATAGATATCCTTCTTCTTGGTCCGGCCAACCCAAGAGGCAAATTCGTATGTGTTTGGAACCGTAGCTGAGAGCAGAATTAGAGTGACGTGTTCCGGTAGCATAATGATGACTTCTTCCCAAACCACGCCTCTTTCCAGGTCATTTACATAGTGCACTTCGTCAAAAATGACAAACTCTACATCGCGAATTAGATCAGCTCCGCGGTAAAGCATACTCCTCAGAATTTCTGTAGTCATGATCAAGCAGCTCGCCTCGGGGTTAATCTGGACGTCTCCCGTCAGGATTCCAACATCCTCAAAAGTAGTTCTGAAGTCGCGGAACTTTTGATTACTTAAGGCTTTAATCGGAGAAGTATAAATGGCTTTCGTCATGTGTTTGGCAGCGAGCGCAATCGCATACTCTGCCACAACCGTTTTTCCAGCAGATGTGTGAGCGGCAACGAAAACAGAATCTCCATTTTCCAGGTGGTAGACTGCCTCCTTTTGAAAAGTATCCAGTTCGAACGGCCATTCCCTTGCCATATCCGGTACCAGGTCGTAAAAATTTGTAATCTCCTTGTTGATATCCACCACATGAGCCCACTCTTTACCTCCTTTTTTCGAAGTAGGCGCAAGGAGCTGGCCCCTTGGTTCCAAGGCCGGGTATTCAACGGGTAGTAAAGAATCGATATCTTCTTCCTCTTCATCACTGGATAAATCCTCTTGGAGTTCTTCGGTGATTTGGAGGTTTCTATCTTCACCAGGAGAAACCCCCTCCTGCGTCGGTTCATCCGTGTCTTTCTCCTCCTGTTCTAACGTGTCTTCCACGTCTCGTGCATCACCCTCATCATCCTTGCTCTTAGTCTTCTCGAATTTCGATCCCCGGGAGAATCCCGGGGGAACCTCCAACAGCCCACCTTCCACGCCAAAATTGATGATTCGGTCTAATCTCGATCCTTTTCCTCCCGCAGAAGTCTGACGCCCATCATTCTGAGCATCAGACTCAAGTTCAGCAATCGCTTCCACGCCTTCCAGCCCGCCTGGTGCAAACGGAAAGAATCCGGCAGCGCCGCGGACGAAATCAGCACGGCCCGCAGGTCGTCTAAGCAATGACGTAGAATTTTTCGCTGTAGCGCTGCTCGCAGGAACAGTTACCTCGCGATAACCAGTGACCCTGCCTTCCAGCCCTTCCCGCGTAAACCGAATGATTGTGCGGGTCTGTGGTGGTGCTAGTTCAAAGAGGTTCGTGTAGTCTACAGGAACTTCCCATCGCCTAGATTAAAGCCATCAAAATTTGCGATAAAAAAATACAATGTCCTATGGGGAAGGAACATACTGTTGCAACTTATTCAACCACGGGGTACTAAACCGAGGAGAGGGGTTCAGAAACTCCCGCTCCAGCTCTGCTTTCAGCTCCTCATCAGATTGGACCTCGCATCTTCGGGACCGCGATTGAAATCTTGTCCCAGCTTCCCTCTCTCCATTTGCGAGTTCTTCATTTCCTGCTCTCGTTATCCAGACGTCCAGGGTATCATCTCCGGCCAAATTATTTGCCGCAGTGTGAACCTGCTGGACAGCATCTAGTAAACCTCGGTCTTCTGCCATATTTGTCAACTTTCCCACGCCAAGGGTGTAGGAAATGATGTGGCAGACGATGCTAAGAAAAAATATAAACAACTCCAGATAGCATGTCAAGTTAAGTTTATCGTAAACTGCATCGGATCATCTTTTGAATGTGGGGCTTCAAAGAATGATGTTCCAACCTTTACCTCCCGCTTCGGCAAAGATTGATTAACGTTACCGGCGCAAGATTACGAGCAATGTAGTTATGAAATATATCGCGATCAACTTCAAAGCTTTCCTGTCAGCCCCTTCTGTTTCCCAGTGCAGCATTGAATGGAATTGTTAGTGGGAAACCTCATATGTGAATTCCTGAGACCTGACTAATCTGGCGCTTAACAGCCGCGCTTGGCTTGCTCTGAAACTTTAATTTATTTTCAACCTCGGACCCGAAATAAGGGCGTGACCAGTCTTTCATAATGATTGATTTTAGAGCGGTAAAAAAAAGTGGAGCGGCCGGCAAGCTCTTATATACCTTGTTGGAGATCATTACTCCTTCAAAAATGTTTCGCTTGAATGGGAGCGGCCTAAAAATAACGCTAGTTCTCCGGTGAGCTGAAACAAGTCACTGCTTGTTCGAAAAGTCAATCAAGTGAATGATAAGCCGGCCATTTGAGATTTTCTAACGAATGTACATACTCCTCGAATGGAGACAGAAAGACACTGAGGGCGACAATGTGACAGGCCGGAGAACCATTTCTAGTGATAACAATATGGAAGCGACAATATAGTAGACAAAGGAAAAAACTCCATCCCACAGTGATTTTCGTAGTCCAAAATCAGACAATGCCGAACCCAAAGCACCAAGTGCCAACAACCACCCGGCAGACTGCTCTGAGGCAATGGAAGGGAAAAAATAACAATCAGGGATTGATCGTATTCTGTATCCGAGGGTAAACCCCCAACAGGGCCTCCCACAGATCTGGGTGCCGCGTCGCAAGCGCTTCCGGCTCCAGCCCCATAGCCATAAACATTGTATCCACCCCACTGATCACCGGTGTCATATAAGCTTTACAGATCTGAAATCCAGAGAGGAACGCGTATGCCATGATAGCGGGTGTGAATCTCCCACTTTTGTTGAAGTCCGGCACCGTGTATCCCAGCTCAATGTAAGATACAAAGGCACAGAGATACCCAACAAAGAGAGACCCCATAGTAATAGTGGTTCCAACAATACTATCGTTGACAAGGGCGTCGATACCGCGGTATTCCATCATTTGCCACGTAAACTTAGCGGCTGATCCATAGGGTTTGCCGTACAGAGCCATATGGGAAAATGCATATCGATTGAAAGCTAGGGTCATCCGTCGAAGTGAGCTCATAACTCCTCTTACAGCATGAGATGTGGCTCTCCCAATGATAGTTTGACCGATAGCTTCTTCCTGTCTGAATATGGTGCATAGTTGGCGGAGCATATCAACCACCCCGACGAACAAGCTCCCAAGGCAAATGCTACCAAAGGAGTAAGTGATGGCCCGTCTTGAAGCGCCTCTCAAAGGTCGCTTTGGCATCTCGTCAGAATTACCACCATAAAAATACCAGGAGCCATACACTCCAGCGACTGTCGTGTGCATGGTACTCTTCATCCACTCGGTAAACCAATAGGCGGAAAGCACCATAAAAGTCATTAGTGTCTTCGTAACAATGGATTTACATCTGAGATTATGACAAAGTGGGCTCGCCTTGTTTTCGTCTGGGTCGAATGCAATATAAGTCGTGACGAGCGTCACGAAAAGCAACGCGGAAAATCCGGTAGTAAGGATACTTCCAATAATACTTATCAGATTCACCGACCCATGCTGTCTGGCCACAGCGGCTGACGATCGAAGCAAGACTCCCGTGAAAGGGATTCGTGGTATCCAGTTCACGAAGTAGATAATCGCGAGGAGTCCAAGGCCAGAAAAAGTGCCTCCGATAGCCCATTGGCGCCTATAGAGATATACAGCACCGGTACCAAAGCTCGCACTAACATTCAAGAATCCGGTGATCCAAACCAACTTATCCGGCAAAAATAAGAAGATCGAAAAGTATAGCCCTGACGCGGAAAAGGCGAGTGGTAACGCAATGCTGAGAAGCAGTAACACATTCAAATCTAGCGCGATGCTATTCGATGGACCATTGACGGTATGGCCGTCAAAGTCGACGCCTTTCATGTATCTGTCGATGACGAAGGAGGAGAGGGAAATGAATGCCAACACATTTAATAGAAACTAACGGGAAGAAAGAAGTGTCAATGTTAGCAAAGACCCGCAGGTCAACTTATAGCAACAAAGAGAACGAAAAATTGGTAAACCTACGAGGACGCTTGCCCATACGTCATGATACTCCTTTTTGTACAGTTTGAAAACCTCTTTGAAAGTCGGATCGGGCGGTCCATCAGCGTCTTCCTTCTTTTTCCGACGAAAGAGTCGGGCCAGATTGATTTGTTGGAAGGTCACCGTAAGATTGCCCATGGAAAATTTTAAGGCGGGCCATGAGATGGAGATGTTCTTTTTCTTTTTACCACCACCGTCTCCTGCAGCAGTAGCATCAGCACGAGGCTGTTCATCGCCATTGTTTGCACCGACATTGTCCTCTTGGACTGGGGTTTGGGACATTGTTTAAAACATGTGTATACACAGAGTGGTATCCAACGTGGCCAGGGGGATAAGAGATATCAATTTATCAGCAAGTAGCGCAGAGTAAGAAATGCGCCAAATAGCATGTTATGCTATATACTATAGATATTGATGAAGTGTGATAGAGTGTAAACGCGGAAAGTTAAAGAAAAAAAAGCTCTGTCTTGCGCAAAGTCTTATCCCATTTCGTACCTACGATAGGCAGGTTCCTCATGGTCATATCGGGTCGACGTTTCCGGTTTGGGTATAGATAAATATAACAGAGAAAAGATCTTATTAGGAAATTAGGAAAGTCCAGCGTATATAATTGGAGGAGGTCGTTCCTTCCCATCAAATCCGATCCTTATCCCCACCGCCCAGATGGATCAGCTCAAAGTCTTACTCAGGATTCAAAGCCTCAGTAATCTGCATGGCGCATTCATAGCTACCGTCCGGCCTAGCGAGTTCTCCCCAGCCTATTATATTAACCAAGGGTCTGGTCGCGTCTTCAGTGGCATGGTGAGTTCACTACCAATGTATTTGCCGTTGGGAGGGTAGGCCCACTTCCCCCTGCTGGTGTGAAGTTTTGCAAGGAATTGCTGGAAAAGAATATTACATCTGTCCGACAAGTCCAAGGTTCACAAAATGAGGTGACGATGGCAGCATAGAGGATGGGCAAGCCAGTTGGTAAGAAAGGTTTCACATATCCTCACCGTTGCTTGAAGCAGGCGAAAGCGAGGGTAGAAGATTGGCTGAGGCCGTTGTGGCCGCTAGGATTCCGCAAGTTGCACCAGATGAATAAGGCAATGTATCTCGATGTTGCATGGAAATCAATATTTAATAAGCGAACGGCATTCTGGAATCCCTTTCACTGGAGAGAGCAGATAAACCGGACAACTTCCAAATATTATTCGCGCCCCCGACTAAAAACCAAGAATGGGCAGAAATATCTAGTCAGATTTCGCCTCAAAAATCACCCGCAAAATACTCCAACTGTCTGTACGAGGAAGTCCAAAATGACAGTGGATGTTCCGAGCTCAATATCATAAACGGGGCTTAAAGAAACTTGGCTCTGCAGCGGTCTGGAACGGGCAATAGTTATGGAAAAACCCAGCCCCATACACGAGAGCAAGGATTGCACCGAATAATAATCTAGTTACTCACGCCATGTTAGAAGCTTCATTGGTGTTGCGAGCCACAACTTGACGTTGAGGTAAGTAATAACATGTCTCTGGAATTATAAGGGGAATATCCGAATCACTTGGCTTCTAGCGAACTAATTGGCGCGCGTTTAACTAAGTTAGTTGACTAAAATTAAGCGGGTGCCCGAAATGGTAATTTCAGACCTCACCTCGAACATGGCGGTACTGGAATCATGAATAATTAATAGGTTGCGGTTCGAAGACCATGATTCCAGGTCTTCATTTCAGCGCATTATATTACGAGGGAAGTATCAGCATAGCCAAACAGTCAATTGAACATACATAGATATGTCAAGTTGTTTAACAAAGAAAAGAATGACAAGTACAATTTTAAAAGAGAAATGAAAAGCGAAAACCCATATTTTGAGAGTGATAATAGATACAAACCCAACCACCACAATATGAAGGGAAGAAGAAAAGCGGAATCCAAGATAAAAAAACCAGAATTAACAGAAATAAAGGTAACAGTAAGAACTGGGATTACCCAGGAATTTAAATGACAAGGACAAAAAAGAAAGTTTGTTGTTTCGCACTGGTTTTTGTGTGCTTGTTGGCTGATGGCTCAAACAAACTCTCAAGTGATATATATACATTCAAATTATCAATTTACAAAGAAACGAAAAATAAAAGAAGAAGGAAGGAGAAGGAAAGTAAAGACAATACCAAAGAAAAAAGGGAATTTCGAAATTCATTGAATAGATGCGTTAGCTGCTTGTTAGTCAAGTAAAGAAACGAGCAAAAGAAAATGAGAAAAACTAGACCACGCAAAAGAACCAAAGGCATACAAACAAAAAATCGAAAATAAATAAAAATAAATCATGGAAGGCTGAAAAGACGCCCAACCTCCAAGCCCTACCATTGTGTTAGTTTGGGGTTACATAATTGACGCTATATCCGATCCCGCTCGCTTCACTCCAGAAAAGAGAGAAAAAAGAAGAATGAAAGATAGAACGTACAGAAAACAAAAAGTGGGAAAGGAATAGGAGGGACAAGGTTCTGCTGTGTTCATCAGAACAACAGAAACTACAGGGGACAATGATGCTCAGCAAACAAACCGTTTATTTACAAAAGGGAAAATCATATGCGAGGGGTCATATAGTCACTGTTGGTATTTTAGCAAAATAGATAGAATTTCGTCATCCGTGGTGAGTAATAGGGATCGTGCTTCGTAATTGATTGATATTTGCGCTTCTTCTCAATGGTCGACTCAAAAATATCGCGTGGAAAATGATAATAAACGAAGATGTTTGGAGGGAAGGGACGAGCGCGGGGAGTAGCAGGTGGGCAACATCGATAGAATGAAGTGTTTGACACTCGCTTGGGTAGGCAAGGTTGGAACTGCTTCGTTCCTATGGCATGGTTGTTTATCCTTGCATTTTGATTTTGAAATTTATTTCTTCATCTGCATGAAAATCCAGGAAACGTTTTTCGATCTTGGACGTTGAGCTCGAACTGGAAGATTCCCTGCACAGTTCCGATGAACCTAATAAATCGTAAACGGCTCAGTTAGTTTTCCGAGTATCCGTATCACAATATATTGACACCCCATGTGTGAAATATTATATTTAACTGTATAGCAAACTTACAAGGTCCGCCCATCGGCACCCCATCCAATCCCTGCAGTCCCTAGTCCCCGCGCCCGCTCGCGACTGGTCGACTCAAAACTCCCACCATCAGCAAGCGCTGTGCGAACCCAACGAGGTGTCCGAAGCTGGCCTACTTCCATGCGACGACGATATTGACCTAGCGTTGCACCCGTCCCCGTCCGCCGATTTTCCTCAACCGCCGCCTGTCGTCGTAACCGGGTCCGCTCCTCGTGGGTTGAGATCCCCGTTTGGGTCTCTTGCCGTTCTACAGTGGGGTCTATGCGGTCTGCTCTTCGTGGGATGGACCTCGTGCGGTGCAGGCGCATTTGTTGGGCTTGGATGGCTAGGGGTGCGGCTGGAGCGTCGGGCGAACGGTTAAATAGTACTCGTGTGCGGGGCAGTTGCCGACTGCTTGTGAGGCCATTTGCGCTTCCATTACCATTTGGCTGTTCGCTGTCAGTGGATTGTGCTGTGCCGCTTCGGCCAGCGGCATTTGAGCCGTCGGCATCGGAAGGGTGATCTGGGGGATGTATAAGTGTCGGCGACTGCGTCCACCTTAATGTGATAGCTGCCGGGTTGCCTCCATGGGCGGGCAGCAATGCAGGAGTTAGCCGCTCGTTGTGTGGTTGTGTGATCGAAGCTGGGGGGCGTGGTGGTGGTGGTGGCGGTTGAACTGTTGCTCGTACCCGCTCTAGGTGGCGATCTCCACCATAATCAGCGCGTAAAATCCCATCAGCAAGTCCCGGAGAGGACACGCGAGGAGAGCGGTTCCCAGTGTGTGCTTCCATGAGCGACTCGGGGCTCAGGAGTCTTGGAATCCGTGAAGATAATACTCCGTCGTCCCATTCAGAGGCATTCACGGAATCGACAATATGTCTTTCTCTATAGCCCATTTCCCGTAACAACTCTTCACGTGATAATTCATTTTCTGAATCGCCGCTTTGCAGCTCCCTTTGCGCTGCAGCATCTTCAATGATATCCACTAGGTTGTTCAGCCCCTCATGTTCAAGAAAGCGATCAGCTTCGTCTGAATCTGATGGCGACTCCTGATCATCTCTGCCTATGCGCGTCCGCACGATTTGCAGTCCTGGTTCGTCTAGATCAAGAGATATAATCTGGCGGCGGGAAAATGCCTGGCGGATATCTGCTACCCCGGCTCGTCCATAATCTTCCACCCAGACAAGGAGATCCCAGGGCCGAGGAGAGAATGACATGGACCGAACTGCACCGCCTTCAAAATAGGATCGGGATGACTGAAACACGCAGACAATATCCTCTCTCCCACCCGCATCTTCGGGATCCGTGTTCAGGATGCTTTTGATGTCGAAGACCGTGATGATCCCGGCTTGGGAACCAACAGCACAAAGATGGCTAGCTGGGGAAAATGCAATTGTGAAACAACAACAGTCATCATACTGAGGATCTGCGTCTAGTTCCACAGAGCGGATTAACGGCCAGTTCCATCCCATGAGCATTTTATCACTATGTCGAACAGGGACTCGGTTTTCAGGTGATGGTTCAATTCGGTAGAAGTAGATACGATTGGCATCACCAACCGCAGCGAGAAGGTTCGAATCCGGTGAGATTATAGCGTAGTTCATGCATATCGGATGGCGGATGCTTTGAATCATTTCCGAACGTGTAAGAGAATAAATGCTCACTGTTGTGTCATTGTTACTAGAAAAATGCATCCGATGTTAGTGACAGACACAAGAGTTCGGGGATGACAGTTTGTACCTAAGAACTGCGACATCTTCGTCCGCATAAGTATGATTGATAGCTGGTAGGCGATGGATTGTCACAGAATTGACAATGCTCCCACCAAATTCATGTATTTTTATATCTGAAACGGTCAGCGCACCGCCTCAACAAAAATAGCAGAGTAGGTAGAACCTCACTGGAGCTTGACGGTGGAAATCGCGGCCGAGCAGGATCTAGATCAACTGGTAAGGGACTATCTACATCTGCTCGCAGAGGAAGCATAGCACGTGGAGCCCCAGAAGTCGGATCGCCAATCCTAATGAAGGCACAATCCCCATGCTCCGAGCCTCCAATTGCAATCCAACCCAGACCCGCGGTCAGACATTTTGGCGCAAACGGCACGACAGCAATCTTCTCACGTTTCCTCGAAGAAATGTGAAGGGCAAATATCTGCCTTTCTACGGCGACATATATTCGATCCGGATCAGCTGTGCTAATATAGTGGCGTAGTTGGTGGTGTCTACATAAAAGAGTAGTTAGCATCGTTCCCTTCCAGGTGTAAATATAGCCACGAGCAAGCAAGTAAACCGGCACTAACGTATTGGGGATCTTGATAGGGAAGAATTTCCGGTGGTTTGGAAGGACAAGGCATTCAGTGGGTCGGTAACTTTGTGTGAACATTTGGAGGTCAGTAGAGAGCTCTTTAAGCCTAGTGACGAGGAAGAGATCAAGGCGGCTAACTATGGTACTCACAGCAATGCGGAGTCGAGCGTCATGGTGACAATAAGAGCAAGATCGCTAGGGTCATTGTATTAATGAAACTTGAAAGGCTAGGACGCGGCCATATTAAGTAGAAGATGGGGGGCAACAGGTAGTTGTACTGGATAGTGAGTCGAGGCGCGGTGGAGATTGCCTTTTTCGATGACGGCAGACCCAACCGCGGCGGAGTAGCGAAAGGTTATGTATGGAGCGGGAGATACTGGCACGCGCAAATAGTATGGGGAAGTATTGTACATTCAGCTACCCAATTATATCACTCCAGCTCCATGCCCAGTGTAGGATAAGTAGAAGCTTAACTGCTCATTAATAAGGATATCATTTGCATACTTAGAACGTGCACATACATCATGTATGTACAGTACATGCACAACCCACTTCATCTCGTTTAATGTAAGTTACTCCGTAGTTATTCTGCACAATGTGTCGCTGACATAATATATTAGTCATCTACCACATCAACCTCAACCTCCCGTCTTCTACCGCTTTCGACAGGTCGCCCAAAACAGACTAGCGTCACCTCCGTCCTTTTTTTCTCCGTTCAAATTTTTCTTCTTCACATTTCCTCCCAATTCAACATCTCCTCAACATCTCATTATCTCCCCCATTCCCATCTTCTCCCACCCGCCCTTCTGTTTAACTCCTTTCCCTTCTCATCTGTAATACTATTGTCTCTATATTCTCACTTTGTATTTTATTTTCGATCCCTTAATACTTTGATTATCCTCTCATAATGCTTGCGTCCCGGTTCTCCCGTGCGGTACGTGTTCTATCACCGTCTGGATTTAAACTCACCTGGACTTCATATAACAATGTCAAACTGACTTGAATTCGTTCAATTAGCTTCCTCGCGCTGCCCCCTCTTTTGCCCGTTCATCCACCTATAAACTTCCCTCTACATCCTTCCGGAGATGGAACTCGACAGAAGGGGGAGAGGAGAAGGTGAAGGGCCAGGTCATTGGTATTGACTTGGGTACGTATTATCTCTGGACAAACTCTGACCTCCATTATTCTAGCGATGTTATATATTGTCAATGCTCACGGGTGTGCGTTCTGAGCTAACCGACGTGATTGACTAGGTACCACCAACTCTGCTGTTGCTGTCATGGAGGGAAAGACCCCAAGAATCATTGAAAACGCTGAAGGTTAGTTGAGAGTCTTATTCTATCCTTATTTCCGGCGATCACTCGGCTGGAAAAATAAGTAAAATAAATAAATCACCAAAAATCACCAAAAGATTGAAACTGACATGTTTCTTTCAGGTGCACGGACAACTCCATCTGTTGTTGCTTTCACCAAAGATGGCGAGCGACTCGTTGGTATTGCTGCCAAGCGTCAAGCTGTCGTTAACCCTGAGAACACCCTCTTCGCCACTAAGCGTTTGATTGGACGCAAATTCACTGATCCCGAGTGCCAGCGAGACTTGAAGGAGGTTCCTTACAAGATCGTTCAACACACCAACGGCGACGCTTGGGTTGAGGCTCAGGGCCAGAAATACTCGCCTTCCCAAATCGGAGGTTTCGTCCTCCAAAAGATGAAGGAGACTGCTGAAGCTTATCTCGGCAGACCTGTGAAGAACGGTGTCGTCACTGTTCCTGCCTACTTCAATGATTCACAGCGTCAAGCTACCAAGGATGCTGGTCAAATCGCCGGTCTCAACGTGCTTCGCGTTGTCAACGAGCCTACCGCCGCTGCTCTTGCGTACGGTCTTGAGCGTGAGCAGGATCGTGTGGTCGCTGTCTACGATCTTGGCGGAGGTACCTTCGATATCTCTATTCTTGAAATCCAAAAGGGTGTGTTCGAAGTGAAGTCCACCAACGGCGATACCCATCTCGGTGGTGAGGACTTCGATATCACCCTTGTTCGCAACGTTGTTCAACAGTTCAAGAAAGAGTCCGGTCTTGATCTCTCCGGTGACCGCATGGCTATCCAGCGTATCCGTGAGGCTTCTGAGAAGGCTAAGATCGAACTGTCGTCTGCTCTCCAAACCGAAATCAACCTTCCCTTCATCACTGCTGATGCTTCCGGTGCCAAACACATCAACTCGAAGATGACTCGTGCCCAGCTCGAGGCTCTCGTGGAACCTCTGATTGCCCGAACCGTCGAGCCCGTGCGAAAGGCATTGAAGGATGCCAACCTCCAAGCTAAGGACATCCAGGAGGTCATCCTCGTTGGTGGTATGACTCGTATGCCCAAGGTTACCGAATCCGTGAAGAGTATCTTCGGCCGTGAGCCCGCCAAATCTGTCAACCCAGATGAGGCCGTTGCCATTGGTGCCGCTGTTCAGGGTGCTGTTCTCGCTGGTGAGGTCACGGATGTTCTCCTCCTTGATGTTACCCCTCTCTCTCTTGGTATTGAGACCCTTGGAGGTGTCTTCACCCGCCTGATCAACCGCAACACGACCATCCCTACCAAGAAGTCTCAGACCTTCTCCACTGCTGCCGATTTCCAGACTGCCGTCGAGATCAAGGTCTACCAAGGTGAGCGTGAGCTCGTTCGCGACAACAAGCTCCTTGGAAACTTCCAACTTGTTGGAATCCCCCCTGCACACCGTGGCGTCCCTCAAATCGAAGTCACCTTTGACATTGACGCCGACTCCATCGTCCACGTCCACGCCAAGGATAAGGCCACCAACAAAGATCAGTCCATCACCATCGCTTCCGGCTCCGGTCTCTCTGACTCTGAGATCCAGAACATGGTTGACGATGCTGAGAAATATGGTGCCCAGGATAAAGAGCGCAAGGCCGCCATTGAGGCTGCCAACCGTGCCGACAGCGTCTTGAACGATACTGAGAAGGCCCTTAAGGACTTCGAGGACAAACTCGACAAGACTGAAGCTGACCAGATCAGAGAGAAGATTGCCGCTCTGCGTGAGGTCGTTGCTAACAGCCAATCAGGCGAGGCCTCCATCACCGCTGAGGAAATGAAGGCTAAGGTTGACGAGCTCCAGAACGCCAGTCTCACCCTCTTCGACAAGATGCACAAGGCCCGTTCCGAGGAAGGCCAGCAACAACAACAACAACAATCGACTGAGAACCAACAGGGTGGCGAGGGCGAGAAGAAGCCATAAAAATCTGCATGTCATCTTGAAATCTAAGGGAGAAAAACGAAAGGCAATTAACCGATATTTCTTTTTCCTTTTCTTCGCATGAATTTATTTCCTTTGTCATTTAGAGGTTCTTTTTCCTTCTTGTGAATTTTCCCTCTCCTATCTTTGTCATCATTCTCCCATTTCATTTCGTTTCCATGTACACATACCAGCCTTGTTGCGTTCTTTCCATTTAACGCGCCCCATACTTGGTGTTGGAGTTTGTTTATCTTACGTGTGTTTTACTTTACTTCCTCTGCATAATTAACCATCGTCATCTTATCCTCTTCTCGACAAAATGTTTTATCTATATGATTTTTTTGTTCACGGTCACCACGGAATTTGGGAGGGGGAAGAAGGCGAGAAACCCTGGCTTTTCTGCGATTTTTTCTTAGTTTGTTTTTCCTACTTTTCCTTTCATTTTTTGTCAAATGGGTGAGGAGCGTGGCGGGTAAAACAAAAGGCAAAAAAAGAAGTATCTGGTGTTATTTCTCTGGATGTCGGACGAAAAGTGAGCAGGGAAACGGGGGAGGTGAAAGGTGGTCGGACTTAACCATAATCCAACCGAGTCAGGAGCCGATCCATCCATGTCTGCGCTGGCGCATCTCATTGTATAGCGGACAACGGCGTCTGGATGAGCATGGTTTGGGTGGGATTGGTTTGAGTTAGGATGGATGGGATGGTAGAAGTGCAGCTTTACATATCAACCACCGTCTTGCCCTCAACTCTCGACTCTCCTTGAAACCCACCCCGCCTTTTCCGCTATCGAATGATTAGAATATAGCAATTCTCCTCTCTTATAATTTATCAGTTGGCTTTCATATAGCATTTCTATTTCCGTGAACTATTCCGTCCTTCTGGTGCTTCTCTCCCTTATGCTTTTCTCTCCTCTTCCCACTCTCACTTGCCGTGTTCGGTATTTCCCCTGTAGTCCTGATTCACATGCGGGATAGCCGTCAGTCCAACTCGCTACCGTTATACCTTGTATCCCCCATTCCCTAACTTCCCTCCACTCCGCCTTGTATATATATGTTTGGAAACTTGTAATATGCAAATTCACAGTTGATATGTTATCACTACCGAATTTGCTTCTAGTACTACGTACTGAAAGTGAACAAACAAATCATAGCCCACTCAGCTGAGAATACATCTGCACTTTCACAGTCAGTTATAGTTAACCCAGTTCCCACAGGCAAAGTCTTCCTAATTCACTCTCCCCATCTGTGAATGCATATATTACAACGGCCCCAACTCACTTAATTCATCTAAAGAGAAACATCGAGTTGGCACGCAGCTTTTCATATCATCAACACTTCCCCTTCGCAACGTGCGCCCGCCCCATTCACTCCTTCCACTCACTAAATTTGCACGAATTCGTCTCTAGGAATCGAACCAATTAGGAGATAGGAGCAACGGATAAAAGATAAAAAGGCGAGAACATACGCCTTTTATCTCACTGCTCAGTTTGCTAGTTTGCAATTTCAGCCACCCTTCATACTACTACCCCTTCATATACTTCGCTTCATACAGAGCATATCAATTCCCATCCCTCGAAACAGCGGCAGACTCAACATCCAGATACCGAAAGGAGCAAAAGGAAGACGAGAGGCTAGCCCGTTCTAAAACAAGCAAAATCAGCAACAAAAAAAAAAAAAAAAAAAAAAAAAAAAAAAAAAAAAATCAACCCAAAATCTGCCTCTGCACCTTCTCTCGCACACGAGCGGAAGAACCCAAAAAAATGTCGCCCGTCGCTCTGAGCAGCATAACTAGGCGCATCCAAAAACACCACCAGCGTCGAATCGAACTATACGTGCAACGCAACAAAGTCCTACGCGAACGCAAGACTGCTGACATGGTTCTAGCCCAAAGGCGCAAACGAGAATACGAGGCGTTTATGGGGGAGATTGCGAGGGCCAATTATAGGCAGCGGGTATGTTGATATGTACTTCCAACTTTCTATGTTCATTGTCCATTTTATCACTTCAATCTTTTCTTCTTTTTTTTCTTTCCTAGGTTCATTGGAAGGGGGAAAAAGCTGATGTAAACTTTCTTTTTTCCTATCATTCTTTAGAAGTTACGGGAGGTGCAGGTCCAGTTTGAGAGAGGGTTTACAGATCGAGAACGGTTCTTACTGGCGAATCAGGCTGTTGCGGTTGCACGGGCTCCTAGGACGGAGCAGAAGGAGAGGAGGAGAGAATTAAGGAGGCGGATTAGGAGGTTTGAAAAGGTGGCGAGGCAGACGGGGCTAGCAATGATGGACACTTGTCAGTATGTTGTCCAGCCGAGGGATGTGGCTGTGAGGTTCTTTGTTCCCCTCCCATATTGATAACAAGCCCCCGCCTTGATCGTGGCACAGCGGGAGCAGGCTCTTCCTAAAGAAACCATTTTATCTAATTTTCCCACGTATGCTAATGCTCTAACTGCCCGTGCCGTATTTGCATAGCCGTGTACAAAAGCGCCATGGAAACCTGTGTTGCTGCCATCATCGAGATCACGAAATGTCCTCCCTGACAGTAGCAGGGTCAGACAAGTGCCAACTTCCTTCAGGACTAGTATCCAATATTAAACTAGAGTTGCTGAGGAAGGAAAAAGGTGGCGGAGAGTGAAGAGGAGGGCGATTAAAATATGTTACCGTGCTAGTGAGCGGTAGGAACCAAGGAGTAATACACCACTCCCAATTCCCAGCTAATCGCAATTGTACTCTTATTACCATAGGCACGCAGAGTAGTTTAAATAATATCTCTTCACAGAAGACACATGGATAGCGACCTTGCACACAGAAGGAAGTATTTTAGGGGGATCATTGCTTTATTTGGATGTTTTCCGCATGTTTAGCGCGCACCTTCGGGTTGACAGCGGGGCGGAGCGAATTTGTGCGGGGAAGTGGAGTCAGCCGCTGACATCATTCTGCGGACAGCCTCAGAGGGCAACAACAACAAACACATATTCGTTTAGGAAGAGATAACTATAAATAAAACTTTCAGAGCCCTTCAATTCCCTTCAGTATTTTATAGAATATATCATCTGGCCAGGTCGTACTCAGAAAAAAACAAAAGTAACTTCAAAACCATGTCTTCACCTTCAACCCCATCGTCGAACCCGTTTATCGACCTCCCCGAAATCATCCTCCTCTGCAGAGAACAAGTGAACATAACCGCTTTCCAAGACGCCCTCCGCAAATATTGGCCCGCTCTCGTCCTCTCCTCCTCTTCCACCACCACCACCACACCAGAACCAACCCAACAACCCCATCAAAAAATAAAAATAACCCCCCTCCAGAGCCGCCTCGAGTTCGTCCCACCCACACAGCCGTTCGACCTCGTCGTCTCCCCCGCAAACTCCTACGGCCGCCTCGACGGTGCCTTCGACGACGCCATTTCCCGCGTCTTCTGTCTGCCCCACCACAACTACGACACTCTAACCAATGCCGCGCAGAAAACGCTCTACGAGCACTGGCGCGGCTATGCTCCTCCGGGCACCTGCACGCTTGTGCCGTTTCCGGAGGAGATTGTGAAAACGGGCCGGGCGCTGGGGGGCTGTCGGTGGGTGGCGCTTTGTCCGACGATGCGCATGCCGGAGAATGTGGTGTGGGATCGTGAGGTTGTGTATAAGTGTGTGTGGGCGTTGATGGTGGAGGTGGAGAGGTGGAATAGGCGGGTTAGGGAGGGCGAGGAGAAGCGGGGTCAACAGGGGGTTGTGGGAGTTGAGGGGGAGGAAGGAAGTAGGGAAGGGGAGGGGAAGGAGGAGGAGAATAAAAAGAAGAGGATTGATAGGATCTTAATGCCTCCGTTGGCGGTTGGGGTGGGGAATGTTAGCAAGGAGCGGTGGGCGGCTCAGACCGTGTTGGCTATGAAGCATTTTGTGGATGCGTTGGAGAGACCGGAGAAGTGGGCGAACTTGGACTGGTTGGAGATTGGGAAGGGGTCTTTTGAGACTGAGATGACGTGGAAGTTTGAGGGGATCATGGGGAAGAAGTAGGTAAGGGGGTAATGTAATAATGTCCGTACCTGTGGCTGCCAGAGGGGGGAAGATTCCGAATGCTCGTGATTTTTGGGAGTTTCAAGGGGGGGGAATATTCTACTTCGTGTAACCATTGCGGAGAATCCCGGCCGGAACTCTTGCGCCTCAGGGACCCGGTGGATGGGGTGCAGTTACATTTTGAATCAAGGGGGTGTTTCTGTTTCGCACACCATGGGCATGTTTCATCATCGGTCGATGAATAATTTTACCAAGTCGTAGAAACAAATAAATTCCCGAAGTGAAAAGGAGCTGGTGTACAGAATAAAGGAGCATCGAACAAATTATGACAAACACAGCAACAGTCAACAGCTAATTTCCGAATGCCCTGGATATATCAGAGCAGAAAGTTTACACAATCAAATCGACAAGTTACATTGCCCATTCATCCTCATAATACACTTCATTTCTGTTTCCCCACGATGTTCCATACAAACGCTGAGACACGTTGGTGTACACGGATAATGCACGCCAACCACGCCCTTCCTACTCCCTCAGCACAAGCACATGAACAACATACCCCGACCCACCCTTCAATCCCAAGCCCTCCCCCATCCCTTTCCCAAGAACCTCATCGCTAACCCTCCACACCCGAAACTCCGCCAGCGCCGCGCGCAGCCACGACTCAAACACATCCGGCACCCGCAGTTGCTGTGCAATAACGCATACAGTTGGCCGCCTTTTCGACGCGAGCGGTGTTGGTGGTGGTGCGCCCTCAGGCAGGGACGGAGGCGGTAGTGTATAGCCAGGCCGCAGCCGACAGATATCTGCGCAGGTTTGCACGAAAGGATCGATTAGGGCGTCGTTGTAGATGCAGTCGCAGGCGAGGAGGAGGTCGAAACCCGGGTCTTTTTCTACTTCATCGCTTTCTTCTTCTTTCGTTTTTTCTGATGATTGAGTAGAGGAGGGCTTGATGACTTGTTTGAGTGTGCATGGCGAGTCAAGCTCCCAGTCCAGCGCAGTGAAGGTTACGTTTCCTGTGCTGGTGGTGTCCGGGCGGTGTCGGGAAGGGGATGGGGAGTGTTGATTTGAAGAACGGGTAGATGGCGGTTTTCGAGGGCCGCGCCGGGATTGGCGGTGCTGATCATTACGGCGGGGGGCGGTGGCGTTGGCATTGGCTATAGTGTTTGCTTCGAGGTTTTCCTTTAGTAGTTTGTGGACGTATTCTTGGTCTGTAGCTATGTAATGGCTAATAGATGGGGCGAGTGTGAGGGCGATGACCCCAGATATCCCACAACCAAGCTCGACAACGGTAGAGTCCTGGTTTAGGATTGATGATGTCCAGAGGGTATTTTGTTTGGAAGATAGCCATTCTGCGACGAAGGGGGTGATTTTCCATAGAACTGAAGGCGGATTGATATTTTATACTGGGTTAGAAAACGGGGCATTTCGTTGGCAAACCAGTAGGACATCAAAAGGTAGATCGGCTTGGAATAAACGGACTATTAAAAAAAACATACCCGCGCCCGTAGTTCCCCCTGAACGGGTTGAGGAGAGGATAGTTGGCGATTGGCGGATTTGAAAATCACGGCCGTGGATAGTGAGGCTGATGGTACTCGCACGAGAATCAATAAAGCCTAAGTTCTGTGAAGGGATTTCCTGGGAGAATAGTGAAAACGCTTCTATAATTTTCCCCAAATAAAGAGGGAAGATACTTTGTTTAGTATGCGCCTAGGTAGCAGGGAGGTATGGTATAAGGTACAACATCCCTTGCGTATGTACACTTATGTACCTTGGCAGCCCTTTGGTTGCTTGCTTACCTTCCTCAACATCCTCGACTTCAGGGCCAATCGCCCGTAAAAATTCGTGGAAGTGCATGATTGATTGGTTGAATGGTGGCCAATGTCACTCCATGTATATCAAGCGGATATCCATTTTCCTTTTCCTTGCGGTTTGCATCTGGAAGCATCACAAAGTTAGCAATGGGCGCTCGCCTTTTTTACTCTTGATTTTCTGGTTTCTTTGATTTTTGACAATTCACACAGTGCCGAGGTATCAACTAACTACATCGCATGAATAAAACCATACGGGAAGAACGTAGGGTTAATTTACGGTGATTACACCGTGGATCCACCATTCCACCCGTGTCACGTGTCACCGATTGTAACACATGTTCCATCATTATATTCAGTGACATGTCACTGAATATTAAATGTCAAGATAATGTTGAGACAGTGCAGAACTTCCTAACATCATCATGACACTACTCAGTAATCATGTAATTGACAGATGTCATTATCAGAATACTACTAAGATACTACAAGACACTGTATACTGTTCTGTCAGTGAAATCAATACTATTAAGCTAGTTAGTTATCTATTACTCAGTACAACAGCTGTTATTCATTAACTATCTATTCTATCTAAAGAAATGAGATATCTCAATTGTAATGTAAATATCTTATTATCTGAGACTTATATACTAAATAATCATTATTTTCATCACTATTCTGTATTAAAATGTTATATAATACTGTCTTTCAAATTATCAGCAGTCTGATAATAGTGTAATTATCAGAATTCTCTTGTAAAATCAGCAGATTCAGTAGATGATTATACATGATATGATGTAGAGAAATAAGTGTAAAGAAAATTCACTTAACTTCTTTCATTTCATAAATAAATATGATTATAATCTGATCAAGCTCTGTCTCTTAATATTGAATAATATTCTCTTTTATAATGTGGCGGAACCGAAGCAGTGACTAGTCAGTGATGTTATGTAGAGATAGTTGTTTAAAAAGCTGTATAAGTGAGCTTGACTATCTTGCTTGAATAGCAAGCTTGTAGACTACAGAGTTATTACAAGAATATCACAGATATGATACTTAGTATACTAAGAAGATTATATAAGAAACATAGTAACTCTTATATATATTTCAGTAGAAGAAAAATAAATTACTGACTTCTTTAATAAGAAGTCAGTATCTAGTTATTCTATATAGATAATGAGCTGATACTCTTCTTTCATTCTGTAAGTGAGAATAATCAGAGTGATATCTCAGCAGCATCTTACTATTAAGAAAGAGTAATCTGCTGATCTTGTATAAAAGTAGAGTTTTTATATTCATTAATCAGATCTTTCTATGATATATCTAAATAATGTTATAGAGTAATTGAAAATCAGTTCAAACAGAATGAAATTATCTGTATAAAAGTAATAAGCTATATGAAACTGCAGTAAGATCTTAATATAGCTAGAAGTATAATAATACTCTATTCTTTAAGAGTATAGTTCTGATACTCTTAAGATTATCAGATTAGAAATTATCTTTATTATATAGTAACAGTTACTTATTAATTTAATAGTACATATACTGTATATAATATAAAGAAATAGATGAGTTTTTCTACTAACTATATAGATTTTTTTTTTCTCATCTTCATTCAAATCAAATATATAATAAGTGAGTTTCTTATATATTAATTTAAAATATGAAAAATATAGTTAATAAGTGACTTACAGATCTCTTATTATATTCTGTTTTATATATAAAATTCTCTATAAAAGTGATGTATTTTAGAGACAAAGTTAACAGTAGTAATAGGATTTTTTGAAAAGATTCTCTTTTCTTATAAAATATTTTTCTTCTCTCTCTCTCTTATCTATAATAGTGAGTGTATGAGAGTATCATTTTTAAGAGATAATAAGAGACTTATTCTGACATTTTCTAATAAATAATAAACATCTTCATAGTGCAGCTGCAGCCTTTATAACTGTTAAGAAAGTCAGGTTGAAGACAGAGATGATAATGTCAATGAGCTGCAGAAGCACTGCTCTTATTATCACATCTTCTTCTACTTCTCTTACAGCTGTGATGATAGTTATCATATCTTGCAGTGAGATGTTATTCCTTCTACTAGTTAGTTTATTTATATTCAGTTCTTTCTCTATCTCTCTTATCACTGTTATAACACTGTCTTCTCTCTCAGTTAACACAGTAATGTATAACTCTGTATAGTCATTCAAAGAGAAATCTGAGAAGAGCTTGATTCTGAAAACAGTGACTCTGAGAAGCTTAATTCATAGTTCTTCTCTCACAGTATATCTGAGCTCTGCTCAGAATACTACTGAGTTAAGTCTACAGAATCTTATAATTTCTTTATCTTCTTTTTATAAGAAGGCTTCAGTACAGTCTCTGACTAGTATTATTACTTATCTATACTATGCTAAGCAGCTGAAGAAGAAAGAGATCTTATATATCTATCTCTTCTCTTACTCTTATTATTTCTGTTATACTTATAATAATGACTTCTATCTCTCTGTAAGTATTATCTACTCTATAAGAAGATATTGTATTAGCTTTAATAAGAAGCTTAGATACTTAAGCAGTACAGAGTAAGAGTCTCAGAGCTCTAAGTATTGATGAATTTTATCAAGACTGAGAAGATCTCTCTTACTTATCTGTAAAAGAAGATAAAAGTATAAGTCTCTAAGATGAAAAAACATCTCAGAATGACTGATCTTAAGAAGAAATTAGTCAGTATCACTGTTAAAAGTATTATAGAGATTAATTACTGATTAAAGAGAATCTCACTTTAATTAGAGTAGATAACTGAGATACTTTGTAAGTTAATAAGTTAATATTTTATATATTTCTTATACTCTTCTGCAGTGCTGCAGCACTAACTTCTCAGCAGATAAAAATATCAGTGTCAGAGACTTTAACAGTGAAGAATGAGTTTAATAAAGATATAATTATTAATAAATAGACTCTAATCTCTCTTTTTACTTTTTCAGTGAACTGTAGTCTTATTAGAATAGTAGTGATCTGTGAATTAATAATATTAATCTTTTTTATTGATTTTAAATATTTCTTTCTTTTCTTATTAACTGCTTCAGAAATTTTACACTTATATAGTCTCATTAAACTTCTAAAAAATTCTTTGAGAGAAAATAGAAGAAGAGTGCTACAGAGCTTATAAGACACTGACTTATTATTATAAGATTATCTCTAAAAAAACTCTTTGAGAAAAATGAGAAGTCTTAAGCAGTATTTCTTACTCAATATCTCTGATATATAATAAGACAGTCTCTACTAGTCATCTTATAACTTATAATCTTTTTCTCAGTATTTTTCAAATACTCAAGTGATTCTCATGAATTCTCTGACAATAAATAATCTTCTTATTTAATAAGATATTGAAGCTTGCTATAATATATTCACTTATTCAATATTTTCTTTATAAGATATTCAGTATCACTCTTAATCTTAATATCATTCAGTCAAGACAGCTCTGCTCTGAGATATTACTTATAGAGCTTTAAATAGAAAATGTGAAAAACAGAATGAATTGATTTTAATTCTGTAAGTAATTTCAACTCATATATCTGCTTACTTATTACTCTTGTTACTGAGAAAGATTCTAGTTATTACTTACTAAGCTTCTTACATAGTTTTATTATCTTGATATTCTTTACTGAAAGTAGTACTTGATTCTCTATCAAGAACTTCATTAAAAGATGTTTTTAATTATAGTATTTTATCTATCACTTCTGAGTATAATGAATACTTTTCACTGTCTTCTTATAAATTTTATTTAAAAGTTTCAATCTCACTTTTACTTCTGATACTGAGAAATACTCTGTTCTTTGTATCTGTTTAACATTCTGACTGTCTATTTCTTTCTTTGAAATGTTATTCATAACATTACTGAGTAATAAAGAATTATATTCATAATAAGTATAGAAAGAAGATATCTTTAAGATTGCATTCTTTGTATTATTATATATAAATTCAGTGATTAGAAGATGTTTAAGTTAATCATTCTAATAATATAAACAGAATACTTAAAGATGCTGTTCTAGTATCTGATTCTGATATTCAGTCTGATTATCTGTCTATGAATGAAATGCAGTACTGAGAAGATATCTTATTATAAGTTAATAGTAAAAAGCTGATCAGTTATTATTATTATTATTCTTCAATTATAGATGTATGCAGTCAGAGACTATGACATCTACCTGAGAACTAAAAGTTCTCAGGGTTTTTCCTATATCTATAAAGTTAACTATTATACATTCACCAATTTCAGATATGTAAAATCAGAAAATTCCAGCCCAGAATACAAAAACTGTTTACAAATTGCAGTGTTTTAACATCTTCTGATACTTTGAAATCATTTGACAATATCATGACAAAAGAAAAGAGAACACAGTCTTAAAGATAGACACATTAAATAGATAGATAGAAAAGAATAGAAAGGAAAAAGTAAAGTAAAATAAAGAGAGACTGTAATGAAACAAATTATTAAAAGATAGTATATAGCTGTTTTAACAGACTATATCTGATCAATTTCCTCCTCTTCATATTCAGATATTTCTGAATTCAGTCATTTTCTTGTAGCTGCTTGAGTTTCTGATAGAAAGTCTATTAAGTATTTAATTCCTGTCTCAGTTGAGAATAAGAATCTCATATTTAATTAGCTTAGATCATACTTCTCTTTCAATCTGACTCTGAGACTATTGTATAATGCACAGTGCATTACAATATGCTCAGGATTCTCATTTGCATTGCAGAATGAGCATTCTATTGAATCAAATCTATCATCAAATCTTTGTATATAAGATTTGAAATAGCCATGTTCTAGTTTCAGCTGTATTATAGATGAGAATATTTTCTTTTTACATTTAATTGAACAAGATTTTCACTTGAGTTTTGTTTCAAATCTTGAATAATGTATACTCTTCTTTTATTTCTGCCAGCTTTCATTTCACTTATCTAAACAAGATTCTTTTATTTTTCTCTTTATAAAAGACTAGGACACAATTTTTTGAATAGATCTGCTTAGTTCTGAGCCTTTTTTTGCAGCTGAATCAGCCAATTCATTGTCATGAATATTCATATGAGCAGGAACTCAGTGCAGATGAATTATCAGCTTTGATGTTCTTCTCTTTT